GAAGTAAGGGCACCAAGCAAGAAAGCAAGTGTGCTAAAGGCAGCGTTGGCAAGAGCTGGTTTACAAAGTTTCCCTTGGCTGTATGTGCAAGGTTCACTTTTGGTGCTGAATCCCTTAACTGAACCAAGGAAGAAGAATATGATGGCAGCAAAAACTCCCATGAAGACACCGAGGTACTTGTACTGAGTAAACAGGAACGAGGTTGCCCCTGACAACAAATCAGGTCAAATAAACATCACAATTCTCAAAATGGTTTCCTCATCAATGCAAGAACATTTATATACTTCACCAAAAGCTCTAAAAGCCATCAAAGGATGGATCAAAGCTGTAGACACTACCTGCATGCTGATGATTGGCTAATACTCTTTCCAGTTATAATTCAAGTGTCAGTACTCAGAGCATCAATACATTGGCATATGCCTTTAAAACAAGAAAAGACAGAACTTGAAGGGCAATCCAAAGAGTCAACAAAGATAAACTTTCAACTTTCCAAGTTGCCTATCCCAAATTGACAAAAGGCTTATTTTTGCCATATATTTAGCCAAGGAGCTCATCATCCAGATGATCATCAACGTTATTGGCCTACAGTGGACAGAGAAGTTGTTGCAAACTAGCCAAAGAATAACCAGAGAGGACAAATCAGAATCAGACACATGCAAACATACATTATGAAGCACCAGCAAAATCAAACCCAGAAAGCATAACAGACAAAAACATTCCATTTTTTAATTCAGAAAATAAAAACCCTAGCATAATATTCTTTCTTTTTTAGCATGAGAGATGATGGAACTCAACATCCTAAACTAAATAAAATATTTTATCAGGAAAAAAAAACCATCCAGAAGAATATCTTTGGTCTATAATATAATCAAATTAAACTCCATGAAATCAAGAATCACAAGCAGAGATAGAGAGATTACCAACAGAAATAGCATTCTGGATTTCAGCACACTTGATAGAAACCTCAAGACTATCAATACCATCTTCTTCCTCTTCAATTAACTTACTACTATAACCATTACTAGAATCACCAGAAACCTTCACCTTTGACACTAAATACCACTGAAGCAAAGCAAAAGCGATCCCAACCAGAGCAGCAGCAGGTATCAATACCTGTGTGAGACCTTCACTCAACACTCCCATTTGTAAATGGCTCACTACCTCTCACCTCAGTGTCTTCAGCAGTGTGTAGTATTACACCAGCACAAATGCAAACAGAACAAGAACTAGTTTTGGAACACTGACCTATAAAGTATAAACTACTGGCAGAGAATGTAGATTATCCAAAAAGATATCTGTAGAAGCCTTGATTGGTTGGTCCTCGGAATCTGAAAAGGAAAGAAAACTGGTTGGTTTGATCGACAGGTTAGACAAAAGAGATTCTTCCAAACGTTGGATTTTGTTAACCAGTTGATTTGATTAACAGTTTTAAAGTCTTGTCAGTGCTGTCTTTATCTTATGTGCTAGCTGCTGCCGCTGTCATATGCCTTGTTCAAAGTCTTGTCACTTTGTAGATGAGATGAGCACTGGCAACTCATCAAAGTTTGGACAAGGGCAGAAAAAGAACAGAAGATTAAAATCCCATTTGAGGAACAAGTTTACAACTACTAGTCTTCAGGAATAATTTATAGGTGAAGTGGTTATCAATATAATTACGAAATTACTAATCAATGTACCATGACATGCATATTTTCTTTCTTTTTTGGTAAAAAATATTGAATCTGAAATCTTACTATTCCGGATGTTGGACCTATTTGATTGGAAAAGAGCTTGGCTCATTTATTTTTATTAAAATGATATTATTTTATTTAAAATAAAAAATTAATTTTAATTGATCGGATTTGACCGAGTTAATTATATTTTAATTATTAATATTTTATTTAATTCAACAAAAATAGTACAATCCTAATTTATCTAGAATAACATGTGACAGGTTTAACAACTATTGTCTTACCATCACAAAGTCACTTATTTGATAAAATTAAAGATTTGAAAAATAATTTGACCTGACTATCCAGTCATGCCCTCTTTTGCAAGATAAGACTTGCTTCGAATACTTTTTTTTTTTTATTCTTAACCAAGTTCTTGAGCACCAAGTCACTCACATCAAATGTATGTGTGTGTGTATTTTTATATATAGTTAATTTTAGTCCATGTTGTGATTATATAAAGGATTTTATATCCTCAAGGAAATTAATTTGTACGTGTGACAAGGCTTCTTTTGGGTGGCATTAAATTCTTTGATGATTCGTGTGGTATAAGTAACATTTGTATGAAGTCTTAATCACCAAGGCAAGAGAGTGATTGCCTAGAGAATGGGATGTTCACGTTCAGCCATCATACCGGGAAGTCAATAATACTGTAGGTTAGGTAATTTTGATTTTTAAAAGGTTGTTTGAAAGTGTTGTAATGAATATTTTTTAAAATATTTTTTATTTTAAAATTAATTAAAAAATATTTTTAATATTTAATACATCAAAACAATCTAATAATATTAAATAAAAATTAATTTAGAGTAAAGAAAAAATTAAAAATTAATTTTTTAAAACATTTTTAAAATATAAAAATAAATAGGATAACTACTTTTTTATTATGATAACGGGATTTTTAATGACCACAGTCGGGTTTATATTCTATTTTATATTATAAATCTTACCTTATTTAATATATTTTTTAGTGCGTCGTGCTCCGACTATTACCAAAAAAACATGTGAAAAATCAGCACAATGGAGACAATGTTTTTAGTCTTTGTTTGGCCTAATGTAACATTTAACATTAATATATAATAAAGGATCAAAGATTTTCAAAGTCAAGCATGTGGGTTTAATTAATACAAAGTAGCGTGTGACTTGTTAATTAAGACATGTACTTTTAATTACTCCCCGTTCCTTAGTAATTAAGGCTAGATTATTGTCCGAATATAATGCATGAGGATTGGTTTATTAAGTGGGGGACTTAATTGAAACAATCAATAGGTAGTGGATTTAATTTATGTCAACAATAGAAAACCTTTAAGAAGCTGTCCATAGACAGTTGAGACAATAAATTTTTTTGGAGCTATTTGTTTTTGTAGCATCACCAAGTGAATAATTTATAAAGATATTAACAATAAAAATATAAAAATATATTATTTTTATATAGTTTCAAATAAAAATATTTTAAAAACTTTCTTTATTTTGCATTATTTAAGTGGGTACTAAGTTTGGTAACACCTTAAGCAATTTCAATGTTCTCCTAGGTCAAATTCTTTATAGTGAGAGCTAGGAATGCATATTTCTGCTGAAGGATTCAAAGGATTTGAAAGGTACATGTAGTGGATGCTATGCCAACTAATTTGAGACCAAAATATTATCTAATCTACAAGGGAGAAAGCTTTTAGCCACATTTTACTTTGAATATTCAGAGGGAGAAGAACCCAAAAAACAATTGAAAAGAAATGCTTTGTGTTCCAATATTAAAAGGGAAAAAGGAGAATATAATTTTATTCATTTTAGATTTCCTCCAAGAAATATTTTAGGGGAAAAGTAGATAAATCATCAATAAGTTGTATGATACTTTGTTAGACTAATAAATTCAATTTTAAAGGATTTTTCCCCCTTCAAATAAGTCTGTTTTATTCTATTTTCTTATAAAATCATTACATTTCTTTTTTGAAAATACATTGTAACAAGTTTTTTTGTGTAAAATTCTTAATCCATAGATTTTTGGATCTTTTCTTAAGGGATTTTAACATTTTTTTAGATTAAAAATTTATTATTATACAATTTTATTTTTTTAATTGCTATAATTCTAAGAAAAGGTTTGGAGCAAATCGTTATGCTAATCAAGAATTAAAATTTTTTCTTTTTATAAACAAGTATGAAGAATTATATTTTCTATTTCTGTCATCATAATATCATTTGAATATAATTAAGATTTATAATAATGATAATATAAAACTAAGTATATTAAACAATATACTATGTTACAAGTGAGAAAATTGGACATTCAAAATTTTTTTTATGAGAGGGTTTTCAGAAAAAGAAAAGAAAAACAAATTAATTGATAATTATTTTATCTTATAAAAAGGGTAATATAGGTGGAAAAATTAAACATCATTTTTTCTTAAAAAAAAACTTATTAATCTTTTAAATAATAACATTTACTAATCATTTATATTTAAAAATTGAATTTCCAGGTCTTTATTTATGATATGTTCATGAAAGCAACACTTTGAGGACTTTTCAAAGCCTAATGTCAAAATCATTGTAAATCTAGCTCAGTCCACCATCTCAAGGCTTTACACTCTATACCCTATTAAACTTCATGATTAAGGCAAATAATTATTTTGGATTAAATTAATCACATAGTTGCTAAAATAAAAAATTATTATCAAGATAAACCTGCCACGACATGCCCTCTCATTTACAGCTTTGAACCATAATCTAGCCTCTGCAGTTCAACTGCTAAACCTACTGTTGATAATTATACCATTCAATTGGAGCTACTTGGTCAAATTGCCATCATAACATTAAAGCGTAGCAATGAGGTGCATTTTATACTCTTAAGTAATTCAGAAAACACAAGTGGTTCCGCCATTTCCAGTTCCTACCATAGCCATAAACATATAAACATCAACTCGGGATATGACCTAGCCTGTGACCCGTGTAATGAGTTGTTTCAGTTAACAAAATTAATCTAAGCAAATTTAAAATCAAGTCATTTAAGTACTATATTTTTTTAAAAAAAATTCAAAAGATGTTATCTTAGATTTGACTAAATCAACTAAGTTATGAGTTAATCATTTAGATTGATTAATTTGATTGCGTCAACTTCAACTTGGTTGGCCATGAAACCTGGTCAGATCAGATCCTAGATTGGCCGGTTACTAGGTTGACAAATAAAGCCAGATGAGGTTAACAATGGTGGCTACTATCTTTACTTCTTATTCAAGGTTGGGTTTTGCTTGAATTTCTTGAAAACTTGCAGAAAAGGAAAAGAGAACATGGGAATACTGCAAGTAGTTGAAGTAGTGCAAGAATAGTCATTAAATCAAACTTCAAAGCAATTTTGTAGTCTAAAACTGGAAGTCATGTTAAATTATTCATCATAGTTGCAATCAACCACTCTTCAAATATACGAAATAGAGTAAATATAGAAAGCCAAAATGTTTCGAATTTCTGCTAACTCTACTATAAGAGCTCTTGATGTCAGACTATGGCGCCCTTGGAAGGCAAAGGACGACGTTAGAACTCAAAGTTGGAGGATGGCATATAACACTATGAATGCAGTTTGTTGACCCTAGATGTTATTGCCGCAACTCCAAACACCGTAAACATATATTCATGGAGAACAAAATCAGATGAAATACTGTAATTGAGCTTGAAATCTCTCCCTATCCTTTTCAAATTTGAAACATAAAGATTTGGGTTTATGAACCTGATTGTATTCATATCCTGGCTTTTTATTGTAACAGGCTGCGTTGATCTGTTGCCTCTTCTCCTGTTCAGGGATTGAAAAGAAGAAGAATTGCAAAGCAATATAATTGACACACAAAGAGACGCAAATGGCTTTGTCTTAGTTTTTCCTCAAGAAAGAACATTGTCTAACGATAAGGAGATTTCCATCATTAGCTATGCATGGTTAAGTCCTCGCATGTGCTTCGCACCTCAAAATCCCATTTTAAAAACAACTCATTGAAGCTAACCAAAATGAAGGCTGTGATATCTTCTCAATGCCCTGTACTCCTGTTCGAGTATATGGGGGAAAAACCTGTATAAATGATCCCATCTGTGCATTTCCCACCCTACCAATGAATTAAGTAATCAGTATGGTTCTATCATCTCACGAACTGCCAGGGATCTTCCAAAGCCAGAACTTCTAGAAAGAATTTAAAGGAGGCCTATTTAATTTTACAATGGCTAAACCATCTGGGTAGCCCACACAGGCATAGGTGCACGAAACATTAGGGGCTGACCAGTAACAGGATGCTCAAGAGACAAGCTCTCTGCATGAAGTTCATGGCCGTCATATGTTCTTCCCTTCCACTCACACACACCCTCATATTTCACATCCCCCCTTATAGGAATTCCAAGATACTGAGAATGCAAGCGGATTTGGTGTGTTCTTCCACTCCGAGGAAACGCTCTTACCAAAATCTCATCTTTCTTTGCATCAGTATCTATCACAGCTTTTTCTTCAACAACTAAAATGTTATCACTGTTAAATTCAGATGGCTCTCTGAAGCTCCCTTGCCCATTTATTGACAGTACTTCAAACGAAGTTTCCATGTGCTTAACTGTGGACCCACCTGGCAATGATCGGCCCACATCTGATGCCGCATACACGCGAAACGCTCCAAACTTTGATCGACCATGACCTGATTTAATAGTAATCTTTTCCCATTTTGGAGCTGAACCGATGCACAGAGCAATGTATGTTTTCCTAACTTTGTGATCGGTAAATGCCTTTACAAGCTTCGAAGCTACTTTATGCAACTTTGTAATAACCATCACACCACTTGTATCACGATCAAGTCGATTGGCAAGATGGAGCTCTGGCCTCGCCACAGGACCTAAAATTGAGAAATTTGAACTCGGTTAAATGTTCACAAATAACATCTGTACTTAATCTGAAAAGATTCTTTAACATTCCAATTTGCTACATGCACTTCAATATTTCGATACATCTCGGAGTTTAAATATACAGTATCCATCAATCAAAAGAATGTGCAGCTTTTCACTTGAAAGAATCGAGCTATAGTTCTAGCTGATAGAAAGGACTGATTCCAGGGCAGCTTCAACCATATAAAGAGCAGAACGTATCCTAATTCCTAAAATCTCCTTTCAAACCCACGCATTAACTCAAGTGTCGAAACCAAATAGTTCCTTCTTATGCAAAACATCCTTAACAAAAATCCAACTCAATTCATAATCTATCCTAACAGTTTACAGACTGATGGGATTCATAAAGGCTCACACCTATATATTGCTAGGAAGTGCATATCAAACTTTATCAAGTAATTAAAAGCAGGTCAGTACAGTACTCAAATTGGTACCAAATGCTTTTGACTTCAATTTCTAATTATTTGATTAAAAAAAATTTACATATCAGACAAGAACGAACAACTTTTATTTTTTCTTTCCTAATACATTATCTCCATATCATCGCGGGCCTCGCAATTGAAAGAACTCCATTGGGATATTAATTCAAGCCTTCCTAAACCAAATTTAATTCAGCAAAACCACATTTCAAATTCTCTCAACGAAGCAAACAAAGACCCACTCTCTATTTATGAGCTAGCATTTCATTTGGCTTCTTGAAAATTAACTACTGAGTCCTGTACCTTGTCAACTCAGACAAACAATGTTTTCAAATTCCAACAAAAACCTACAACACAAAAATGCCAAAAGTAAAGAAAACATACCTTCATCGAGTCCAGATGACTCAACCAAGCAATCAAGAACTTGAGGGACAGAGTCCAACACTGTCTCACAATAAACACCTTGAGGCTTGTTAACAGCAATAAGCCACTTATCTTGATATAAAACATCACTTTTAGACAAAGCAAAAAGACTTGATCTTGAAGAAGCAGACATAGCTCTAGCTAGTTCCATCTCCTTTGATAGTGGATTCAATGGAGGGGAGAGTGGTATGGGGTAATTTTGAAGATTTATAGGTGTGTTTTGGGAAGTGGCGTTCATGCTGTCTTGTGAAGCTGACATTTTTGTGCTCTGAAGAGTGGAAAAAGTGAGGGTTTTGGTGAGTTTAAAGAAGGGTTTTGAGGGAAAGAAGAGGGTGGGATTAAGAGGGGAATAGAAGGGCATTTGTGTCTGTTTAGCTGTGGTTAGAAAAGGTGAAAACTATATGAGATACACCACCAGTGTGGTTTTATAGAGTAGAAAACGATGTCGTTTTAGACAATTTGATGCTTCTTCTTGGCTTCAATAAACCCTGAAAGATTGAAACTTTATTCTTTGTTAAACCCAGGAGCTCAAATCCTTAGAGAAAAATCATCCCTTTCTTCAATTTAGAAGGGAAAGAATGTCTTCTTTGATTGTTAAAAGGTCAAGCAGTAGATTTTCACATGTAGACTTTTCAAAGTTTCACATTTTTTTATCTCTGAATCAAAATCACAAAGTTTTGGTTTCTGGGCTGCCTCCAGTTTTGATTAAAACCATAAAAAACCCATCTTGGTCTTATTTAAGTGTGTCAAGATACCACAATTTTGCACATTTGAGTGGAAAAGACAAGGTCTTGGCCTCTGGGTTTCGTGTCTTGAAGAGTTTGTTTAGTACACAGTCAGCAGCGGAGCTATCAACATCTGATGGGATAACTGTTGATGGAATTGTGGCTAGCAATTGGACAATTCTTGATGAGAGTGAGAGTGATTGGAAGAGTCATGCTGCTGCTATTGCTCAGTCCATTCAAGTGATCAAAAGGCGCTTGCAGGTAGAGTCCGTATGATTTAGACTCTAGTTTGTTTAGTTGTATTTAAGCTTAAGCACTGATTTTCACTGTGCTTCTGAGTAGCGTTTGATTTCAATGTCAAGCATTATATTTTGTTGAAAATTCAATTACAAGGTCATATTTCTTAGACGAATATATCACATTCAGTTTTCGGTGAACTTTCTTCATCAATCTGTTGTATATACAGTGTAATCAAGGTTGTCTTCGTGTAGTTTATTAAGATTGACGTGAATTTATATTTTGTTATATGAGGTGGCAGTGGAAGAAATTGATGGTTAGGTTGGATCTGTTATCAGTACAGCTGAATAAGCCTGATCTTTGGGACGATCCTGTACATGCTGGGAAAATAAGTCGAGAGCATGGTTCATTGATGGCTAAAATGAAGAAGGTGAGGGCATTGGAACAAGAATTGCTGGAGCATATTGACATGATAAAACTGGCTCGTGAAGAGGATGATAATGAGTTGGAATCGGTGGGCTCTCACTTCCTATTCTAGGCATGTATTCATTCTGTTTTGTGTTATGTTCAAAATCGCAAAAAGCCACTCGAAGATTTTCTGGTTTTTTACGCTTTACACTTCATTTATGAAATAAACTGTTTATTTCAACTGTGCTGGAAATTCATTTCTACCCACAAAAGCAAATAACTGATCTCTGTGGTGTATAAAATAGTTTAACAGGTAGCCATATTTATGAGTTGAACTATCAAATAATTATACAACACAAAGTGGCTTTTGATTTGCGATTAAAAAGGTGACCCTCCAAGAAAATTTATCAAAACTTCTGACCTATCACTGCTGGACATCTCCTCGGCACATAAGATCCAACTGTTTGCTAGATGCCTCTTCTTAATTCCTTTGCGCCAGTTATTCATGGAGCACTGCCTGCTCCTTTTTGCAGGAAATGTTGAAAGCTTTGCTTCAAATGAGAAGAAATTCAAATGAGAAAGAGCAGGAAGCTTTGTTATCTGGGGAGCAGGATTCCTGTCCTTGTTATATAGAGGTACATTTATACGTGCTGGTCTTGCTGCCTTTCTAGTAAATGAGATTTCATACCTTGTGATGTATTTGGATGTTGTCAACCATCCATTTAGAAGTATGGTGGATGTGTAATTGATCCACAGCCAGTGGATTTTTCCTTGTTTCGACCATGTATAAGGACAATGAACACTTTTGTTGGAATGTTACACGTATTTAGACCTTGATTTTCCTGTGCATAATACAGGTCCAAGCTGGAGCTGGTGGTACTGAGAGCATGGACTGGGCCAAAATGGTTATGCAAATGTACAAGTCGTGGGCGCAACGTCATGGTTATGGAGTAACTGTGGTGGATGAGATGCCTGGTGAGATTGCAGGAATCAAGGTTCAATTTCTTACCATCTTCCATTCCTCCTTGAAGCTTAGAAATTCACAATTACATAATTATTTTAATTATTTTCTTTTTCTGGCAAAGGAAATCAACATAGAAATCATGCCTTTCAATTTTAAATGGCCGCCATTTGCTTCTTCTGGAATGTTGATTGGCGAGCTGCTAAAAATAAAGCTCCTTCTATGTATTATTGTTCACCCTAGGCTTCATTTTATGGTGAATATGACATGGAATCAGTTTGTGCCCTCAGCGTGCAACAATCAAAGTTGATGGTGAATATGCATTTGGATATGCCAAAGCAGAAGCTGGAGTGCACAGGTTGGTACGTATCTCACCATTTGACAGTGGAAAGCGCCGGCATACTTCATTTGCTGCTGTGGCTGTAATTCCAATCCTAGGGGATGGATTTACCCATGTCCCAATTAACGAATCTGATCTCCGTATCGAGAGGTTTCGTGCTGGGGGAGCTGGTGGTCAGCATGTTAACACAACTGAGAGTGCTGTGAGAATAGTTCATATTCCAACAGGAATCACCGCCACTTGTCAAAATGAAAGGTGCGAATTTTCTTAGAAGTATCCACACCTCTTATATGCTAAAATCTCTCTTGATCCCATGTGGTTCTTGCAAACACAGATCTCAACATATGAACAAAGATTCAGCAATGGCAGTGCTCCAGTCTCGATTGGATCAACGTGAGATGGCTCGTCAGGCTCAGGTGAATGCGCATCATACACAATCTCTCACTGACATAGGTTGGGGCAACCAGATTCGTTCTTATGTGCTCCACGTATGCTCTCAAAACCACTGCAACTTCCATTACTTTCCTAAAATACCATCTATTCTGTATATTAAACCCACGTTTACCACATTTTCTTCTTCACGCAGCCTTACCGCATGGTCAAAGACCTCCGAACCAATTATGAGGTCACTAACCCAGATTCTGTGCTCGAGGGAGAGATAGATGGCTTTATCTTGAGCTATTTATCAGCTTTGTTGGACAAGGACGAAGATTGCCGTAATCTAAGTGCTTAAGCAGATTGACAGCAAAATGGAATGAAGCAAAGCTCACAATCATCCAAATTCCGATCTAGGTGGTTTAACAAAAGCTTGAGTAGGGAGCCAGTGAGCTGCAATGTCTATAACGTATCGCACACGCTGGTTTAGATTGATACTCGATTGTAAGATACTGGATTGAATAATATGAATTTAAGAGCAGGCATCATTTTTTTGTCTTTTGAAATTTTTGAAACTCTCTTTTGCTCTAAATTATTTTTTTATGATTTTAGATTGTTTTAATATCAAGTGAAAAATATTTTAAAAAATAATCGTTATTATAATTTCAAATACTGGGAGACACATTTGCTATTGTAGTTAAAAAAACAAATTTAAAAAAGTTATAAATTGTATCTTTCCTGAAACCCAAGTTTTTACAGTAATTTAGAATGAAAAACAGGTTAAAGGAGTGAAAACAAACTCTTTTTAATTTTGAATTTGTGGTTAGTCGAAGTAAAGCACTGCACCAACATTACTAAACGAAGCCTTAGGAGGACGAACAAAATATGGCTTCTCAGAGTTGTAGCGGGACGTGTTCATTTGTCAAGTTTTGGTTGTAATTGCTTGATACTGGAATGAGACATTATGTGCAAATTTGGTCTGTATAATTTTCTCATGAAGTTGGAAATACGTTGCCGTTTCAAAGATGATGTCTTGGGAGAATGGGAGGCTTTAGCTGTGATATCCAATGGCAATGGCTTGTGAACAATGCGAGTGGTTTATAAGGAACAACTTAGGTTTGATTAAAGTGGTAAGAAGAAAATTCATTAATACAAGAACTCCAGTAAATATATTTACTTGTGTTATTAAATCTTACTCGGTAAATTTATTTATTTAGCAAACTCCATGAGTAATTGAGATTTAGATTGAATTTCAATTTAAATTGATTTTAATATTGATATAGCAAAATCTAGATAATCTAATATGTTAATATATAGCTATATTGAATCGCAACACGACTGACCTAGCTATATTTAGTTTAAACAAGGTCAGAACTATTTAAAAAAAACAAATTAAAATAATATTATTTTGGATGAAAATATTAAACAAAAAATAAAAAAAAACTATGGATATGATTTAGCTGGCGCCGTACCTTCTCGTTCTCTAACAAGCCTCAGTCCAAAACTAAAAATATTTAATTCTCAATTTTATTCCAAAAATAAAATTTGTTTATCAATAAAATCCTAAGTGTGACATATTTTCGATTCTGTATTTCTTTTCATGTATTTCACATATTTTCTACCAAATTCTCTTCAATCCAGCGCCCATCATAAGGACTCACTTTGTAATTGTGTAATAATACAAGTTATATTATTTTCTCATTATTTTCATGTATTTTTTATATTTTTAATTTTTTATGTAAAATAGCTATATTTTTCAATTACAGAATGTTTTTTTTTTAATTTTTTATATAAAATAATTATATATAGTTCATAATATTCTTTAATTTTGATATGTGAAATATTAAATTTTAAAATTATTGTTTTATTTTTTTCGGGTTAACTTATGTAACCTGTGTAATTCGAGATCCGGTCTCTTAACCGGGTCAAGCGGGTTTATTAACGAACGATGGTTTCAAGTCAGAGACAAAAGAGCTCTCGTCAATCCACAAATCACAAGGAAAAGTTTTTATATATTTCCCCTATCAAAGTTCCAATCTTTCTTCAATTTTTGAGTGTTAAAGATTGTTTCTTTTTTGTGGGTTTTGTCTGTTTTTCTGCAGAGAGCTCAGAATTGTTAATCTTTTAAGCTTACTATAGATTAGAGGCAGAGGGAGTTATAGAAGAATGGAATCAGCATCTACGTCGTCATCAACATCGATAATAACACCAGAAGATGTGTTAGAATCA